TTTGTGAAACTTAAATTTTTATGTTTATATTTATATTTGGTGACTTTTTGAGGAATCAGGCGAAATAAATTTGAATTCAAATGGTAACAACTAGATCTTGTGAAAATAGCAGAATTTTTAAAAATAAATTAATAAAATTTATGAAAATATTAATTTAAGTTGTGTATGTTGAAATTAAAAATTTATGTTTGTAAATGTGTTCAATTTTACATGTTCATTTTAGTTTTCTAGTTATAGATAATTTTTATATTTTTGAATTTTTTTTCAAATCTAATAAAAGACCAGTTATATCTTAATTTATTATTAATAATTTACTAAACAACAAACTATTGAAATATAAAATAGGAATTTATCTAGACTGGGCACGTGGGAAACAAGAACCATTAGGCTGTTTTTGTCTTTTAGTGAATTTTTTCTACAGTATTTTACAATGTCAAATGATGTAAAAACTAGAAGATTAGGCTAGATTCTGCACCATTATGCAAATAAGCTAACACCAGTTACACTCAAAATAAAAAATCACTCTACAGTTGAATTCCGTGAACTCTCTTTTTCACGAATTCTCTAGTTTTCTTTTTTCACACAACACAAAAAGTAATAACGATTGTTTACGGATAGAACAATACACAAAAGTATATCCATCTCATTTCTGATTCATTTCTTTTCCCATTAGTTTTTGCTAGCTATTATTTTCTTAATCATATAAAAATCAGTGCAAATACTTTTCATTATCTTAGTAAAACATGATTATATAAAAAAAAAAATAAGTAAAAGTAAATGATCATGAATATTTACTTTGGAAATAAAAAAGGCTATGCTAATTTTGATAATGAGAGGTGAAATCAGAGACTAGAAAAGAAATTCCTTACCCGATGCACCGTCCCACAGGCCACATGTGATTCCTGGTGGCCACGTGTTGACCATGGAATGGAAGGTTTTATCAACTTCTTAGGTTTGGACTCGCAAATGGGACCCGTGAGGAACCGAACTCATCATGTGGTTCTCGACTTTAGTTCGGTTGCCGAATCGGAAATGATCATCGATCGAGCCACTCACAAGTCACACCAAAAGTCCCTATGGTGAAGTGATGATCTTTAGTATTATCTATCGTCATGTGTCACGTGTGCATAGGGCAATATGACTCATTACGACGTAGGCTCGATCAGATCTAATGAGAAAATTTGGAAAGATGGGGAAATCTTTTCCTCTATTTTTAGTATGTTACTGTGTACTAAACTACTAATAGTCAATTTTTTTCCCAAATCTTACTGTATGTTTTCTTGAAAAAAATTCAAATATCCAATCTGTCAAGACTTTTTCTTTTATTTTTTCTACCTTAAACTTTGAAGAAAATACAATAATTGTAAAACAGA